TTACGAGTCACTAGCCTGACATGTACACAGCAGCAGCTGACAGACTCCAACGTAAGCTGAGGGAGAGCAGAGGAAATCAAAATGAGACACAGGAACTGAACATAGCCAAGGGGGCTGCAGCATGAAACAAGCTGCATTAACTCAGAAATGAGAGTCCCAAACTTTCAGAAGACACAGTAACTACAGCAACAATCTGGTATAATTGTTGGATATTGAAGTAAATAATAGCTGTCTAAAATGTGTGCTATTATTGTAAGAATAAAGCATATCCTAGCACATTTTCTGCAGACATTCCAGCCAGCAAAGCATCCATACTTGGTCTGTCTGACCTTTGAATTCTTAGAAGTATGTAATTAATTCTTTCCATCTTTATTACTTGTTCCAGTATTTCTGTCATTTAAAACAGACACAAAGAACAATCTTTTCTTTCCTCCAGACAATAGCCTTTGTTAAAAAGGAAATAAAGTCAGATTTATAAATACAAAATTAAGCAGGCTGCATGTTTCATTTTCATATATGAGGACAATGAAAATGTTTGCTAATACAACAGAATGGAAAGAAACAACATGCAGTTGGTCTGGGTAATTCATACCCAGATATCCAGGCCTGATGACAGAGAACACGACTCTTGTTTTTATTTTGTATTCCATTTTAGCTCTTCCCCTTCCCAAACTGTGTGATCTTGCTCTGATCCTCAGCTTAAAGGTTTTACAAAGGAGCTGCTTATAGGGATAAAGGCAGAAATTAAATATATGAAAAATGTTTGTTTGCCTTTTCTTCTCTTTTTCTTGCCCATTCCACTTTACAGATCACAAGGCAATGCCACTGAAGAGCAGGGGAATCTTCTAGTTAATGATGCCCTTCCTGATAAAGGACCAGTCATTTGGTATATATTTTGGAGATACCATCAAAAAGGTAATTTAAAAACTACAGGCTTTTAAAAGTGCTCACATAAGAAAGAGCAGTGACCTGGGCACGCCTCTTTAAAAGCTGCTCACCATCCCCTCTGGGCAAAGCCAAGTGAAACCTAGGCAGCTTTGGGGAGCCCTCTGGCCATGTTGGCTGTTCAAGGCAGTCCAGCTTCCCACCTCTTACCTGATGGCTCTTCATCCACACAGCAGAAATGTACCTAGATTCTAGTAAGTGCAATCTTTTGCCCATTTATTGTACTAAACATTGTAAGGAAAACACAAAGTTTTTTGTGTAAGTGCACTGACTGACATGGATCTGACCTGGGTTCTGTCTGTTTTATTAGTCTGGATGTTTGCTCCCTTGGAACCCTCCTTCCTCACTCTGTAGCAAGGTCTGCTTTGTCATTGCCATTTGTGAACTCAATTCCATTTCAAAGTTCTGGGTGAATGAGCACTGTGCTGGAGGAGGGTAGAAGCAGACAGATGAGGTAGTCCCTTTCTTGTACCACTGTATTTCTAGAGGATAGCTGGGTTCCAGTTTGGTCACTGCTAGCAAGGAGCACTTCTCCAGATGCTGGGGGCACCACCTGAGATCCAGCTTTTCATCTAGCTTTGGACATCAGTCAAAAAATTGTCCTAGGGCTGCATTTTTAGTCACTAGACTGCTTGCCCAGCAGGCAGAGGGGTCTGGGGTTGATTCCCTAGCACTATATAAACCAGGCATGTTATGGATCAGGAGCTCAAAGTCACCTTTGGCTGCTCACCAAATTCCAGGCCAGCCTTACGTAAAAGAGAACCTGTCTCAAGAAACAACCAACCTCTCCTGTTATTACCTCCCACATTCTCCTTGCTTCCTACAGTCCTGATATGTCCATCCATCTTCACTGCTTAGTTTCAAACTAGACAGAGTAAGTAGCTTAGACAACACACACCCAATTTGTCTAAAGTCAATCAGAATTAACAGATAGTTTAGAAATTGATCCACCCATGGGCTTGGAAAGCAGACTATTTTTGTTAGCAGTTCCTAATTTTCAAATTGGTAGAGAAATCAAGTCTCCCTCAAACAGAAGCTCTATGTCCTGGGGTTTCCTGAGGCCTATAGGATTTGGGGGACTGAACCCGAATCTCACCTACAAGATGTATTAGAAGACATCCAAATCAAAATTCATTTCCACACAACATTTTCCCAGTAGAGATTCATTTAAAATAAATAAAGTTTATTTTATTATTGCCAACTTCTGGCTCACTACAGCAGGGTTACTTTTTTCACTTCTGTCTGATGAGGGCAGAAAATAATAAAAATAGAATGTAAATAATTATAAAGTTTAGTAATTCATAATCTTTGCAGGATAGAAAGAAAGAAAATTAAATTTAAACCTCTCTTCCCCCTGATATTAATCTGCACAGTATCACTTTCTGAGGTCCACAGTCCCCTTCTTCCACGAGTCAACTATTAAATTTATAGGCTGTGCTTCAGAATTTAAGTATTTTATTTTAGCTCAATGAAAATCATATACACACACAAAAATCATATGCATTTAAGGAGATTTATATATGATTGAACTAAAAGAAAAATTAATGTATAAATATACACATTATATAAATATATATACATATTTTATAAATATGCATATGCTTAGATCATACCAATTCTGGTTGCATGCTCCTCACTCCACCCAACTGGCCCTCATCGGACAGAAATGAAAGGAAATCAGTCTGCTAAAAAGAAGCAGAGGCTGACAAACGAACGCCAGCCATGCCTACTACCTCCTCATCGCCTATGGCAACCTTCACACTATAATGGAATGTTGCAACAGAAACTATATGACACACAGGCCCAAAACATTTACTACCTGGCCTTCACAGGAGGTCTGCTAACGTTTGTGATAAGGGAGGTGTGGGGGCAGCATGTGCTAGCAGCTAGAGCTATTTAATATCACTAATGGATTAGTAAAGGTCAAATTCATCATTGCAAGCAGAAGCAAAGTTTGCTAAGCAGAAAGATGGTGTGAGAACTCAGATCACATATAGTGCTTACTGGGGCAGGCTATCTCTATAAAATGTGTGCTCTTTGGTGCCAGAATCATGTGTGCCCAGGTACCAGGAGGGCCCATCTTTGTGTAGCTCAATCAACAAAAGCAGGAAGCACACTTGTCCTGGCTTACCAGGGACAGGAGGGAGATGACAAGAAGGAGAGGGCACTGTTCTGGGTCCAGAACGTCCAGTTTTGTATGTAGAAAAGCTCTAGCAGAACAAGAATCATGCTAACAAAAAGTCTGAAGGGACAAATGCAAATAAGAATTCTCTAGTGGAGAAGGTTACATTTGGAGGATACATTATAAATTAATTAAAAAAACGTGTTGGCAATTAAAAATTACATTAATTCTTTAAAAGGGAAATAATATGGCAATCACATTTTCATGAAAATGAAAATCAAAAGACTCAAGTTGCCAAGTAAAACACTGAACTCCCACTAAACCTGGCATCAATTTATTTTTAGCAAAACACTGACATCAAGATTACTAAATTTATTGTTGAACTTATTAATACTATTATTTACTTATATTTAATGTCATGTTTTAGGTTGTGTAAAATAGGGAATTTATAGTTAAAATATTATGGACTTTTATAGCCAAAGTTTTATATTTATATGCATCCAGGTGGCACTACATCAAAACTAATTTGGGGAAACAGTGAGGCTCCACAATGAGCCTAAGTTCATAAGAATTTATTACTCATGCTTAAGAATATTTCTCCTGTCCAGATTTGATAGGAGAGAAATTAAGGCATAACAAAGTAATGTCAAAAATCACATAACAAGTTGCTAGTGAGACTTGAGCCTGGGTTTGCCAAGGTTCAAAGCCTGTGGTGTCTCACTGGGAGGCCAACAGTAGGTTTCTGGAGTCTTTGTGGGGTATAGGGTTGAGAGCCTCTAAGGACAGAAGGCAACTTGGGGCTTCTAATACTCGAAGTACAGGCACAGACCTGAAGATTCACCTATATCTTCTCCACAGAGTCCCCTGCTGTGCTGAGGACACAGAAACTTTCTCTCACAAGAGGAAAAAGACCCAAAATACTCAAATAGTTTATGCTGTACAATCCTATTTTCCCAAGTCTCAAACAAAGGAATCTGTTTTAAAGGGACAGGAGAAAGTCCTTCAAAGCAATCCCTCATTAGAACCGTGAATTTGCTGGCTCCAAACAGCAGGGGGTGCCAAAGGGATCACTATTAATCCCAGGAGATGGCCAGGAGAGGGACAACAGAGGCCTAGTTTAGAATCACTTAGGTTAGATTGAAACCTGAGTGTGTGGGGGTCACCCTTAGCTGCTGGGACTCGAATGGACAAATCTTCATCTCCATCTGCAGTACTTAGCATTCCTTGGATGGAAAGTGGAGGCGACAAATTACAGCAGGGTGAGCTCTGTTGGAGCTGATCATGATCATCTTAGATAACAGTACTGTTTGCTACAACTGGTGCAGCGTCCTGAAACAGCACTTAGACTCATCTCTGCTCTGAATCAACAGGCTGTAAGGTTAGGTGATCTATTAGTAAAGCTAGATGTATCACTATACATCTGCTTAATGACGTGTTGACTTTCAATGCAGGAAATAGATTCCTAGGACTGTTATTTTATGTATGTACAGACACTTTCATAGGCTGCACCAGACTCACAAAGGCACGAGAAAGGCTAAGCACAGTCTAAAAGAAGGCAACTGAGGAAAAATCAAATTGAATTTGGACCAGAGGGAGAGAAAAGGTTTTAAAATCACAACAGAAAAATGACCACAATACATATTTTCATTTTCTTGACTAGAAAAGGGCAAACCCAAATGCTGCTCCCAGAGGCCATCTGTAGACATGCTGTTCCCACCTCTACCTATTCCTGTTACTGGCTGTACATGCCATAGGTGCAGAAGCATGAAACAGCAAGGCATATACATGTTCCAAAATCAATCTGCAAGTAGTCATATGGGCAGATATTCTAGATACCACACATAATTCACCTGATGAACAAAAAAACAATATCAGATGCAAAATGCTAGCAGGTCAGGGTGAAACACTGAGGAAAATAACAAGCAGTACTCACATTCGAACAAAGAGTGATTCTTTGGATGTCAGACCAGGAGATGAATACTTTTCAACCAGAGCCAAAGTACTGAAGCCAAACTTATGAATGGGCTCATTGGAATCCAACGGTGGGAAATCTGTGTCTACCTCCCCATCATCCTCAGCAATATGCAGGCAGTAGGCACTGACATTGTCACTGAAAGAAAAACCACACAGGCAAATGAGTACTGTAGGAAGGGACATGCAGCCCAGATGGCATGGAGCCCAGCCACCACATTGATTCTGTCGCTCTCTACCCTCAGCCTGGGATACACCAAGAACCCCTACCTCCCCATTCACTGATAAGGAGAAAACACTTGACAATACAACAGGTGTTGGCATACTGTGTCATTTCCCCAATATAAACTGGACATCTGTGAGAGATAAAACCTAGAACTCAATTCTTGAGATGAAAAGTGAGATTTAATGCTAGCCTTATATAGTCAGGTGGTGGTGGTGCACAGTTTTAATCCCAGCACTCAGGAGGCAGTGGCAAGTGGATGTCTGTGAGTTCGAGGTCTATACAGTGAGTTCAAGAACAGCCAAGGCTACACAGAGAAAGCCTATCTAAAAAAAGTAAAGCTAAACCAAACCAAACCAAAAACAAAAATGGAAGCTTGTTAATACAGGAGGGGAAGGAAGTGGTACAGTCCCATGAGAACAGAGTCACAAATAAAGAAAAAAACTACTGGGGGTGGGATAAGTGGGCTTTGATACACAGTAAACCTGTTGACCAAGACCAACCACTCAGTTTTCCTTTCCAAACACCTCAGAACCTTAGCTGAATAAAAGCACAAGGCCCGATTATCCTGATGCTCACACCTGGCTCTTCTAACAACTGCTGGATAGTTCCATTTCATGTCCAGTCAGAACTTCCAGATTCTAGTCTTGAACTTTTAGAATCAAGAAATACTTTTCTCCTTGGGGGATAATAAAAAGGCAATTTGTTCATAATGACAGGACACCACACCAACACAATTTAAAAGCTGAAATTAGGGCTGGGGTGTAGGTAGTGCTTGTCAAGCATGTATAAAGTCCTCGGTCAATCCCGAGCACTGCGTAAATCAGAGGTGGAGGTGTAGTACTGTAATGCCAGCACTCAAAAGGTAGAGGCAGGAGGATCACAAGTTCAAGGTTATCTTTGGCCACATAGCTAGCCTGGGATACATGAGACCTTGACAATACATAAGTTAAGTAAGTAAATAAACGAATGCTGAAACCAATGCAAATACTTTAGAACAGCGAGCTCCAAAGTGGACTGGGAAATTGAAAACCTACTAGCATTTAGGCAGGCTGCCTTCAGAAGCATAAACAAACAGTTCAGAAGGCAGGAGAATTCTAGATTCTGCAGCTAAAATTTGGAATTTTAATTATGTGATTGATGCTTTAATTAATTAATTGCAAAATGTATGCTAATTGTTTAATTGGTTGCTTGATCTATATAGATCATTTTTTGAATTAAATGAGTTGATTTACAAAGTTTATTGATTGGATGTGACAAGGAATTATTGCACTGACTACCTGATTTGCAACTTTCCCAGTTAATTCACAATCTTTAGCTGCACTCTGCTTATTGAGAGAGTCTACTTCAGGTGATCTATACTCAGTGTGTCTGACAAGCTTGAGAAGTATTTATTATATAAAACAAGTAATAGGGACAGATGAAAATTAATGGAAACTATGAATCTGCTAAATGGATTGATAACAAGAAAGTAATCTGGCCATGTTTGTCACTTTACATTTCATGGGTTTGCAATGTTGGGAAGAAATATGAAATTCTTGTCTGAGTGTAGGATCTTCTGGTTCTTTACAGCAAGCTGTCAACTTAAACACAAAGTAAGTGTAAAACAGACAGTCTTTAGAAGAGAAAAATGCCATAGGAGAGCACCAACTCAGAGCTTTGCAGTCAGAGAGACCTGAGTTCAAGTCTCAGCTCCGTGGTTCTTGGGCTATATGATTTCAAAATAAGCTTCACCTTGGCTTTCAATTTCCACATCCATAATGAGGCCACAATGGCCTAATTCAGGATTAGATCCAGTGATATATGTAGAGTCTAGCATACAAGAGAAGTAGAATATAAATATGAGATGACTATAGTAAGGTCAGAAGGGGACCAGCTTGAAGAGTTCTGTCAGTCCTTCCAGTATGAACACACAGCAGAGCAACAGGGGAGCCGTGACCCTGGCAGCTCATTCCAGGCAGGCAGGTCTCTAAGTTTAATGGGGCTGCTGTGCCTCGAGGATTGTATGAGCAGGGAAGATGCAGATGCGACAAGCCATGGACAATATTGATTATTTATTGCCATATAAATCAATATGAGAAATGTCCATGATTTCCTAGTACCACAGAGGTTCAAGGGCAAATAGTAAGCCCACTGATCAGAGCAAAAAGCCCAATACTGACAGTAGAAGAATCTTCCTTTGATTGTCATGGGATGCTCCTGAGTTTCTGAAAAAACAAATCCAACCAATACCACAAGCTCAGATCTGAGAGTAAAGCAAATGGTTTAACTCACTAATTCCAAAATACAAACAGCTAAGTAACTCATTCAAAGGCATCTGCACTGTGTTTACTCTATGTAGTGCTCTGTCTTAAGAAGGCCTCCTTCTGTATTATATAAGAGGAGTGAGGTCATTAGCAAGGTTTAGCAGCAAACACGGCTCTAAGTCCTCAACTGAAAATCCAAGGAGATGGTGATTAATCATTCCACTCTGTGCACAAACCTGTTGTTTCCTTTGTGCCTCCACAAAGCAATCATCCTCTAACAGGAGCTACTGCTGTGTTGTCACTTTCTAGGACAAGACAATCTCATTGGCTGTGTGATATGGGTACCGTGTACCACACAGTGATGTCTGATGCTGTTCAGTATATATGTCGCTTTCATCAGTTGATGAATAAAGCTGTTTAGGCCAATGGCTTAGCAGAGTAAAGTCAGGTGGGAAATTCTAACAGAGACATATATAGAGAGAGCAGGTGGAGTTAATAAGACACCATACAGCAGCCAAAGGAGTAACATGCAGGCACCAGTAAGCCAGTCTAGTGGCAATACACAGATGAATAGAAATGGCTTAATTTAAGATGTAAGAGCTAGCCAGGAATATGCCTAAGCCATTGAACAAACAGTGTTGTTGTAATTAATATAGTTTCTGTGTGATTATTCGGGTCTGGGCAGCCGGGAAACAAAAAGTACAATTTCTATTTACAACACTGGGAAACTGGCCTTGACCCATTTAACTTGGTGACTGTTTCTATTTTATACATTAGGAAACTGAAGCTTACTGGGGCTAATCTGTATCAGATGGCACATAAATGACTGAGCTGACATTCAAATCCAGGCAGCCAAGAGGTCCTTGATCTCACCAATCTGTTGGTCAAAGCCATGCTACAGTAAGACTTCTCAAGGTGCTTAGGAACTTGATGTCTCAAGAGAAGGAACCATGACACATTAATTTTTGGTCTTGTTTTTAACTAGGAACTTGGAGAGATTTATGTGACAATCCTCATAGCAGGGGGGTGGAAACAGAGGAGAAAGAGGCTCATGATGATCCAGTTCATAGACAGAGCTAGTCAAGGAGAACTGAGGCCTCCTTGCCTTTGTTCAACTTAATGATCAAATCAGAAATGTGTAGTGTTTTGAAATGGGAGGGGGAAAGAGCAGTGCTGGTCCCTGCCAACAAATTCTACAAATCCCAATGACAGGGCCTTTTCCTATGGCTCCATCCTGGATGAAATGATATCTGGCCTTAGTAACTTAATAATAAGTAACTCAACCACTAAACATATCTCTCTGAGCTCCATCTTAGGAAAATGATTTCTCTACAATCATTTAGATCTCTGACAGAATCCAAATCAGTCTAACTTTCTGGATTTCCTGATCACTATTTCTACATCCATCGTCACATAGTTCCTTTCCTATTTATGCATCTACTGAAAGAGCACAGACTCTTCTAAGACTCTTCACAAATTTTTGAAGAGTAAAGTGGCTGGCACTTAGACAGTACTTAACAAAATTTGTTAAATAAATGAGTATATGACTATGTAGATGAGCTCACTCTGAACAAAAGTAAAAGGTTTTAGTAATTAGGTACTTGTTAAAGGAAGAAGGGAGGTAGCAGTCAGGCAAAAGGGGAGCAGCAAGGAGGTCAAGGGGAAAGAGAAATTTGCTTTTCAGACAGGTCTCATGCAGCGTAAGCGGGTCTTAAACTTTTTATGTAGTTAAAGCTGGCCTCAAGCTCCCAATTCTCCTTTCTCTGCCACCAATGTAGACACTGCAAGCATGTGGCTTCTTAAAGGGAGGGGCATGTGTCATCATAAATAGCTTCCTGAAGGCACTTTTAGAGTCCTTCAAGAAATGAGTACTGCCATCCAATTTTTTTGATGGATAAAAACAAATAAGAAATAATTACAACTATATAAAAATTTAATTGTGTTCAAAAGACTAAAAGTAACTGTACAAAGAGGTTTTCAAAGTCTATGGAAACGTTTGTCACCTGGGGAATTTCTTTCTATTTTCTGTACTTCTCAAACTTCCTGCTCTTATTTTCATTTATTATTATTATTTTTTTTTTTACTTTTTAAACTGTTTTTATTGTGCTATACATTTTTTCTCTGTTCCCCTCCCTTCTTCACCTCTCCCCTTCTACCCTTTTCCGTGATCCCAATGCTCCCAATTTACTAAGGAGATCTTGTCTTTTCCTCCTTCCTATTTAGATTCATGTATGTATCTCTTAGGGTCCTCTTTGTCATCTAGGTTCCCTGGGATTAGGGATTGTAGGTTGATTTTCTTTGCTTTATGTCTAAAAACCACTTATGATTGAGTACATATTATAGTTATCTTTCTGGGTCTGGGTTACCTCACTCAATATAACTTTTTTTCTAGATCCATCCAATTGCATGCAAATTTCAAGATGTCATTTTTTACTACTGAGTAAAACTCTGCTGTGTAAATATACCACATATTCTTTATCTATTCTTTGGTTGAAGGGTATATAGGTTGTTTCCAGGTTCTGACTATTACAAATAATGCTGCTATGGACATAGTCAATGTCCTTTCGGTATGAATGAGCTTCCTTTGGGTATATACCCCAAAGTGGTGTTGCTGGGTCTTGAGACAGTTTGTTTCCTAATTTTCTGAGAAAACGCCATATTGATTTCCAA